AGAGAGAGAGAGAGAGAGAGAGAGAGAGAGAGAGAGTTAATCGATTTAAACATATAATTGTAAAGTCAATCATCCAGGAAACTTTTCAACAAACACTACACATGTACAGTATGCTTATACTGTAGTGAAATATAAATAAAATATAAGAGCTGTTTTAATGTACAATAAATAATGAATAGCATTTAAAATGCACTTGATCTATTTAATGCACTTGAAAATATAAAACTTTTCAAAAATACAACTCAATTAAAGAGAATTGGAAAATTCAATTAAAACCAAAAACAAATATATACAGTTATTTTACAGTTATATATGTAGTTATTTTCCCAAACCGTTTGCCTAATATTTGCTGAACATTTTGAGTGGCAGTAATAAAACTGATCTGAATTTAACATTATTTCCAACAGAATAGTAGTATTTAATTAAAAAAGTCAATCAAAATGTGCAGTCAAATAGTGTTGTGAAATAAAATAAAATAGCAATAATAATAGCCGAGCATTAGTTTAACACGACTTTTCAATCCAAATGCTAAACACAAACTTGAAGTTAAAGTAAATTTCATTGTTTTACTAACAAATTGTTTTAAAACCATTTGAATCAATAGTTTTTGTGCAATAATAAAAGGTTTCAAACATTATATAATAAAAGTATTATATTTTAAATGTATTATTATTATGGAAATTAGTCACAAAAAAACATTAATCTTATTTTCCTATACTATTATTATTAAATACTAATTGATATTTTAAAATGAATCAAAATTTTGTAATAATATTCCTAATGTCTAAAAATATTCACAATGTTTTTATAATATTAATGCGATTATGAAAATAAACCAAATGATATGTTAATTATTTAAAATACTGAAAAAACAAAAATATTCCTACATCCATAGAAATGTAAATTAAATGACAAATATAACTGACATTTAAATGAATTATAAAATGAGGGACAGGTAGGTGTCGAGCATTTTATAATGTCGTGTTGTAATACTGTTTGTATAGTATTAAGGCATACAATTACCCCCTCCCTGACCTGACAAATGCAATCCTCTGTAATTACCACAGAATCCAATACAATATCCAGAATGTAATGTAATGTATGTTTTTATTAAACCCCACACCGGAAGAGAATTACAAATAGGTATCTATAATATAATACATTATAGATACATGTCTAAGACACTTATACCTTAACTTATACATACAACTTGTATCATATAAGTTATATGTGATTTCCCCATAGCAAAGCATTCACTCAAAACATACCATTCATGTTATTACAAAATGATAAGATATATGTTTTTAAACAGAAATATCATAATTATTTGTCACTTACTTTAAGTTTGCCTGAATTTAGGACCTGGACATCGAGGGAGCCGTAAATGACAGCATACCAGTTGAGAGCCTCTTCCCCTTCCTTATAGACTGTGTTTGGGATATATATTGGTGTTTGACGTTAGGAGTGGAGGGCAGACAACATTCAATGTAATTTTGTTAGAATTTTTAATATTTTTATTATTACAGAATAATATGGCTAAATATAAGTAACATTATGTAATAAGTGATTGGGAT